CCTGACTTCTCAGGTGGCACTGATTTCACAGGTATTGCTGCCCTGACCTCTCAGGTGGCACTGATTTCACAGGTATTGCTGCCCTGACCTCTCAGTTAACACTAATCACTCAGGTATCGCCACCCTGACCTCTCAGGTAACACTAATTTCTCAGGTAGCACTGCCCTGAGCTCTCAAGTGACGCTGATTTCACAGGTCACGCCACCCTGACCTCTCAGGTGACGCTGATTTCACAGGTCACGCCGCCCTGACCTCTCAGGTGGTGCTGACCTCCTGCTCTCACCTCTCTCTCTCTGTCCAACTCTGCTCTGGCCTGTTCCCGCCCCTCCACAGAGAACACGCGTGCACGCAGCGATGACTTCGCAGAGAAGAACAGTCTGCCCAAGTACGAGTATGTCCTGCACCCCCGCACTACAGGCTTCACTTTCATCGTGGACACGCTGCGCAGAGGTCAGTCTGTATCTCGGTGTGTCGGAGCTGTGCTGAGCGCTGTGCTGCACTGTGTCTCGGTGTGTCGGAGCTGTGCTGAGCGCTGCGCTGTGTCTCGGTGTGTCGGAGCTGTGCTGAGCGCTGCGCTGTGCGTCTCGGTGTGTCGGAGCTGTGTTGAGCACTGTGCTGCGCTGTGTCTCGGTGTGTCGGAGCTGTGCTGAGCGCTGTGCTGCGCTGTGTCTCGGTGTGTCGGAGCTGTGCTGAGCGCCGCGCTGTGTGTCTCGGTGTGTCAGAGCTGTGCTGAGCGCTGCGCTGTGCGTCTCGGTGTGTCGGAGCTGAGCTGAGCGCTGCGCTGTGTGTCTCGGTGTGTCGGAGCTGAGCGCTGTGCTGCGCTGTGTCTCGGTGTGTCGGAGCTGTGCTGAGCGCTGCGCTGTGTCTCGGTGTGTCAGAGCTGTGCTGAGCGCTGCGCTGTGTGTCTCGGTGTGTCAGAGCTGTGCTGAGCGCTGCGCTGTGTGTCTCGTTGTGTCGGAGCTGTGCTGAGCACTGCGGTGTGTGTCTCGGTGTGTCGGAGCTGTGCTGAGCGCTGCACTGTGTGTCTCGGTGTGTCGGAGCTGAGCGCTGTGCTGCGCTGTGTGTCTCGGTGTGTCGGAGCTGTGCTGGGCACCACGCTGTGTGTCTTGGTGTGTCTCGGTGTGTCGGAGCTGTGCTGGGCACCACGCTGTGTGTCTTGGTGTGTCGGAGCTGTGCTGGGCACCACGCTGTGTGTCTTGGTGTGTCTTGGTGTGTCGGAGCTGAGCGCTGCACTGTGTCTCACTGTGTCGGAGTCAGTGGGCCCAAGCTATTGAGTCGAGCAGAAGGAGCTCCTGCAGGGCCTTGTGGATAAGAGGGCTGGGTCCACACAGGTCCTCCAGCACCAACCTCTCCTCCCCGTCACTCGCAGGGGACAACCTGGACGCCATCCACGACATCACCGTGGCCTACCCGCAGAACGTCCCCCAGACGGAGCGCCATCTGCTGGCCGGCGTGTTCCCCCGCGAGATCCACTTCCACGTGAGCCGCCACCCCGTGTCCACGCTGCCCACCGGCGCCCCGCAGCTGCAGGCCTGGTGCCAGGAGCGCTGGGGCGAGAAGGAGCGGCGCCTGCAGGACTTCTACACCGGGGGGCGCTGCTTCGACGCCTCGGGGCGCAGCCGCATCCCGCCCTGCAAGTCGGAGCGGCGGGTGCAGCTGATCCAGGCCGCCTCGCTGCTGTACTGGAGCGCCTTCATCGCGCTGAGCTGCGCCGGCCTCCTCCTCTCGCCCGCCCTCCGTGCCTTCTTCCTCCTGGTGGTGCTGTTCTTCCTCGGCCAGCAGAGGGCGGTGGGGGGCGTGGAGCTGCTGGAGCTGGCCTGCCATCGCAGGAAGCAGGGGGCCACCGGGGCGGCCACAAGGGACAGGCTGGGCCGCGGGGCAGGAGACAAGGACAAGGACTGAGGGGCAGGAGTAGGGTAACGGGGACGCCCTGGAGAACTCTGGGGCTGCGCTGGACGCCCCAGCCGTGCGAGAGAGGAGGGGAGTGCGCTGGCTCCCCGTGTCGCTGTGCCCCCACTCATCTCCGTCTCCTCATCCGTCCCCCTCACCGCCCCGTCCCCC